GAGGGATGAAATTTGGTGGAAGAGTGACTAGCTCCCTCTTGTGCAGTGATTCTGAGGCGCACTTGACACAGTCTCTCCCAGGTCCCGTGGGACCCAGCACCAGTCCCCACAGTGGCAACCCACCCTTTGTTGGCTTTCCCCTCCCCAGGCTCACTCCCCTCTTCCCCACACTTCTTGGGATCATCTCCAAGTATACCACTCACCTTAGATCCTTGTCTTGGGGCTTCTTTGCAGGAGCCCAAACTAAGACAGACGACAAGCCTCACACAAAAAGCATTGGGTACCAGGCAGAGTGAGAAGATGGAGGGAGGGAAGTGGTTCTGTGTGTGAGGGGGAGGGGGCGGAGCTGGGCCCCAAAGAAAGGGGAAAGGAGCGGAGGGAGAAAGCATTTGAGAGGGGGCCCCCACAGGCTGTGCCTGCTGCAGTCAGAGCACAGGAAGCTTACAGGTCTGGAGGGGACTTCCCTGGACTCTCGAGGCCTCGTCATAAGGCTCTATGGTCACTAAAAAGACAAAACGATCCCCTTATTTATGATGACACAAATTTTCTTTACCTGGAAACCACCAAGACACAGAGGAAACGCTTAAATGACTTTCCAAGTGTGTGGGTAGAAACCTCTGCAATATAAATTATGTTAGTCCTGCCCAGTCATGCAGCAGGTCCCTACAGGTCTCAAACTGGCAGCCCCTGGTGAGCTTCCACATCTGATACAAGCATCCTCCTCTCCAGAGTCCTCTCAGATGTCCCACCATCCATGGATCAGTTGGTGAGGAAGCCTGACTGTACTCCGGGCTAGGCCACAGAGGCCCTGGCAATGGGAGCAGGCCCTGGTTCAGGGCTCCCAGGAAACGTTGGCCATTGCCATTCTCACCATCATCATGGTCAGCCCCCCAGGTGCACTAGGAAACAGTGTTGTGGTCCCCAAGGTTCTGCCATACCCCCTCCAGGGAGCTTCCCTTCAAAGGGTCCTGGGTCCCTCCCTGGGACCCAGGCCTGCCCCAAGCAGGGGCTGAGCACAGAGAGTCATGAAGCTGGGGGAGGCTAGTTTAGATCCCGAGATGTTTCAGCCGTGGCCAAGATGAAGTGAAGAGTAAGCTTGTGGAGATTTGGGTGGAGAGCATTCCAGATGGAGGGAGCAGTAAATGCTACCACCTGGGCAAGAGCATGCTCTAGTGGCCAGTGCTGCTGAGGTTGTTTCTCCCTCCACACCCCACCTTGCTGGCTGATGAGAGGGGACCCAACCCTTGGGTATGAACCTCTCTGCCCAAATTGAATAAGGGAAGGAGGAAGACAGGAATCAGAGCCTGTGTGGGCCAGGCCTCAGGGCCCCCATGCGGCACACAAGGCCAGCCACAGGCTCAGCTCATTTGGCTCATGGGATCAGCACCACCTGTGCAGAGGGCCTGGCTTGACCTTGAGCCAGCCTCTGGGACGGGGATTATGGGTGAAATTTTCTTTCTTTATACTCATTTGCACTTTCTGAGTGTTTTCCAGTGGACATGTATCTCTTTCATAAGACAAAGGTTTAAAGCTGGCAGCAGGGTGAGACGCCTTTAGCTGAAGACAGGGTCTGGCAGATTCACAAAGGCCCACAGTTCCCCTCGGAGAGCCATGCCTGTGTGACCCCACAGTGGAACCAGGGCGTCGTGAATGAAAAAGTTAAACTGGGACTTGGGAAACTGCCACTTTTACATGCCTTGCTAGGAAGCTGTGCATCCTGGAAACCAGGGCCTCCTCAGGGGAAGCTTTTGCGGGGGCCGTCCTGACTGGAGATGAAGGATGGAGGGCTTCCCAGTGAGAGAGTCTGGACTTTGGAATCTAAAGTGACCATCTCCACAAGTACGGAAATGCCACCATTAGGGTGTCTTTCCTCTGGTGCTCGTGACCCTCCAGAGCTACAGGGACACTAGAGGAGCTCAGTAATATGGGCCAGTGGTTTAAGTGAGACTGAGACTCATGTAAAACACAACTGCTCCTGAGATAAAGAAGGATTTAAGTTTCTCTTGCAGGAGCCCCTCGATTCATCTCAGGACCCTGTGCCCAGCATAGGTCGGGCACCGTGAGGGCTACAGTGAAGGAAAGGAGGACAGAGGAAGTTTTGCACAGTGTGATCTGCAGAGCCTGGCATCCTGTTCCAGCATCCACACTTCCCTCCAGCCTTGTCTTGTTCCCCTCTCCCCCACACACTCGGGCTCAGCCACACCAGCTTCCTCAGGTCTCTAGACACACTGTACAGCTTTGCTCCTGCACATGCAATCCCTGCTGCCTGGCATATCTTCCCTCTGCCTCCTTCTCCCACAGACTCCCCCATCCTGCAGTTCTCATCCTGAACATCCCTCCCTTGGGGAGACTTCCTTCACCCTGGCCTCGTTAGACCCCCTCTATGGACACCATTGATGCCCAAGACTGGAAGCTCCATCGTATCCTCAGCATGCCACCCAGCATCTGGCACAGAGTTTGTAAGGAAATGCTGGTAAAAGCATGGGAGGGGCGTGTCTGGTGTGGGCCCTAGCAGGGGCAAGACCCTGGAGCCTGGGGGCACCCACCCGTCTCCCCCAAGTTGATTTCTACACATGTGCGTACCTTCCTGACCAGGAGGTGTGTGCCTTGCAGTTGCCAGGGTGGAGAAGCCTGTGAACTCACCATGAACTGTGGGGATGTGATGGGAGGGGCAGAGCCTGGGGAGGTTTCTGCGGCCCACCGAGCAGGACCCACTTCGATAGGTTCCCTAGCCTGCCCGTGTGGGAGGTGTTGACTAGCTGCGGACCCCTGGCCCAGGGCAGCAAGAAGCTCAGAGGATATCTGTGGACCTCCAAGCTCTGTAAGGAAGATTGGGGGGTTGGGGGGACCACCGAGGATGAGACCTCTCTTCTCACCCAATTCAGCCTGGCCCGTCTTTCAGGTGGCCTTGCTGTGGCATGTTCTTAGGAACCTGATCGTAACTAGCATTTCTGAGTTGAGCTTCCTATCGACCCCATATCTATCCGCTGTACACACCACTTCCCAGCATCTGGGCTTGAATGCCTGTCCCCAGGAAAGCCTGACGGGCCCCTCCAGGACAGGTCCCTACAGATCCTCCACACAGAGACTTCCATCACCACAAACACCAGAGCTATCTCCACTGGTCTACCGCATTCAACTTCTGTCCATTTGCCAGGACTAGTTTCACCCTGTTGGGAGCTGAGGGGCAAGATTTGGGCAAAACTATTCTTCTCCTTTCCCAAAACTGGCCTTTATCCAGGCCCAGGAAGAGAAACCCAGCAGGCTGCCACATGGTCCCCTGGGTGGGAGTGGTTTTGTGGTGGGACAAGGCCACTGTTTTCAAACCTGCACAGCTATACGGACTTGAGAATATGGTTTACCAACGGGTGGCCCTAAGAGCTCCTGGGAATGGGTATCCTCCCAGGGCAAGGAGGGACGCTATCACGGTTAGGGGGTGAGAGAGCCATTCCGTCAGAGCACGGAGACTCCCAGAGAGCAAATAGATTTGATTATATTGAACACAGCAATTGATTTTTTTCTAAATAAACATGCAGGAGGAAACGGTAACGGGCATCTGTTTCTGACAAGAATCAATTGACCCCAAATTGGAAGAAAATCTGGAAACACAAACAAGCACAAGAGAAAGTGATCAGGCCATCCAGGCTTATCTAGTGAGGGAGGGAGGGCAGGAGACAGACAGACAGACAGACAGACTTCCTTCCCCATCAGCCCTTTCCTCACCAAGAAGCTTCCTTGTTTGTTGCTCTTCAGCAAACGTGGTCCCGATAATGATAAGGGGAGAGTAGCTACCATTTTATGAGCCCTTACTCGGTGCCAAGCCAGTGCTAAGCCTTGTATGTGCATTTCTTATCTGATCCTCCCAACAGCCTTGTGGGAGGCACAGCTCTCCCACTTCACAGATGAAATCACTGAGGCTCCTTGTCCAAGGTACACTTCAGGCAGCAGCAGAGCTGGGACTCAAACCCAGAGGACTCTGGAACCAGTGCTCTCCAGCACTGCTTTGTGTTGAGTCTCCAACCCTGAGCTACTACCTGGTGCCCTAAACTGGCCTTAGAATTAAGGGGAGGAGCGTCAGGCCCCAGACAGTCCATCCCCAGCGGTGCATAGGCCTTCCACCTGGAATGGATGGTGAGAAGCCTGTGCCCGGACTCCAGGACTCAGCAGAGCCAGGTGCCAGAAGTACTGCATCCCCAGGGGGTGGGGATGTGGGGCTGGAGGGGCTGTCCTGCTCTGCTAATAGCCCCGCAGCCTCAGTTTATAGGCTGAGCCCTGTATGGGGTTCGTCCTAGTGGCCTGTCACCAGCAAGATAAACTATGTCATGTCGCAGTGCATCACAGGCCTCATTTGCCAGAACACTGTGTGGTTCTGATGCTGTTCGGCAAGCACGCCTGTGATGAAAGGCCTGAGAGTAATGGGCTGTGTGCTTCGGCTTTAATTCCATAAAGCTTCCTTGTGTTTCTTGGTCACAGACTTGTGTACCCATGTTTGTTTTGAAGTAATCCAGCTCGGGGAGTGTACCTAATTAACTAAAGCAGGGCTTATTAGTCCTGTTAACTAAAACTCCCTAATCTATAAGGCCAAGTATTCAAAAGCAGTCTCTAAGGTAGGATTAAGGCAAAAACGAGCTCTTACAAAGTGGAATTGGGGCCGGCTTTCCTAAAGCCTCTGTGGGGCCACAGCTGTGCGTTCCCCTAGATGAACTCCCCCATTCCATCCGGCAATCACTCTGTGTCTGGCAGGTAGTAGGAGCTCAGGAAACACCTGTGGGATGAACAGGCCCCCTCCAGCATCTGCGTCATGCGCAGCATGTGTCCAGTGCTTAGTAAATGTTGATAGGATGGGTTGGTGGGCAGACAGACAAACAGGTCCAGTCCACTCCAGTTGCCCCCTGCACTGCAGAGTAAATGCCCAGTAACCCTGTATGAACAGGATGGATGACTGTTCTCTCAAGACCAAGGGAGGAGTCTTGCTGCCATAACCTCATCTCCTCTTCCAGGTGACCCGTGCACCATGGCCGACTACGCCCGCCTGAAGAATGTCCTTCTGGCGATCCAGACCCGCCTGCAGCCACCCCAAGAAGGGGACAGCAGACAAGACCCTGCCTCCCAGAAGCGCCTCCTGGTGGAATCTCTGTTTAAGGACTTGGACGCAGATGGCGACGGCCACCTCAGCAGCAATGAACTGGCTCAGGTGGGTATTACGGAGGAATCTGGTTTCCCATTCAGCACGGAACCGGGGAGATGCACATGAGGAGAGTCCTTTGTAACAGGACACCAAGGAGGCCTCTCTCCTGCAAGAGAAACTCTTCTCCCGGGGAACCGGAGAGCTCGTGCTCAATGCCTCCGAAAATATCTTACAAACGAAACAATGTCAGTGTCTTTTCCCCACCAGCCACCTTCAGCCAATATTTACAAACAAGCTTTGAAGCATCTCAGCTAGCTGGCAAACACACGCTTCAAAGGGGCTGGTCTCTGATGTTTTCATTAGGAAATACATCTTTTCTTCCTTGAGTCCGTTACTTTCCTGAGCAGGAAGGTGAAAAGGAAACAGGTTTGGTTTCCACCAAATATTGGGGCTGTGACCTGGGTGTCCCGAGTCCTCTGCCCTAGGATCTCGCCATTCTTTAGTATCCAGATATCAACAACCCAAACCCCAGCCTGCTTGCTTGCAGGAAGCCTTGCATCCGGACCCAGACACTGCTCTTCTGCTGGGAAATCACTCGGATTGGGCCCTGTGGTTTGCTTCCCTCTCCAAACACAGCACCCGTGTCCCTTTGTCCAGCTCCGAGGTGATGTGAGGGCAGTTAGTGTCTACAGCAGAAAAAGCGAGGAAGGAGCAACCCGGGGCACCAGCCACTGCCAGCTGCAGGGAGGGCCTATAGGGTCCTGTGGCAGAAAGGCAGGCGGGGTGGGCCGGAATGGCCTGCATTCCTGCTCCTGCTCTGCTCGTTTGCCTCGACAGGCCTGGGGCCCTGGAGCCACACCAGGAAGGTGCAAAGATAGGCAAGGTGGGCCAGATCAGCCTCCCCAGGCCGGCTGGTGGGGCGGGGGCAGCTCCTCCTGGAGACCACAGAGTGCCCACCGAGAGGACAGTAACAAGAATGAGTCCCCAAGTTTGATGCCACTTTAAAAGAAATCCTTCACGTCACACAGTGACCTTACCAAGGCTAGGCCAAGTCACTGGGAAGGACTGGGCTGGGGAGTGCCCTAGCATTTATTGAGCACCCACTGTGTGCTTGGCACTAAGCAAGGCCCTTTACCTATGATGCAACAAACACTACTAACATGCAGTAGAGGCGCTGAGAATGTAGGCTTTACGGTCAAACGGCCTGAGCTCCAGTCTCGCCTCCAGCATTTACTAGCTAGTGTCTTGAGAAAAAGCCTCTCCTCTCTGTGCCTCCTTTTCTTGTCTGTGAACCTCACCAGGTAATCAGGAGGGTTAAATGAGCTAACACATGTGAAGTACTCGGCACAGTGTCTGGCACATAGTGCGTCCCAACAGGTGACAGTGGTCAGTATGGTTGTCATCATCATCGTCTTCATTGTTATTTCCTCCTTAAACTTCCAGCCATCCTCTGCTGTGAAGTAGGTACCACTGTGATCCCCACTCCACAGATATTTTTAGATGAGGAAACCAAAGCTCCAGGAAATCAAGCAATTGGCCTGAGTTGGTGGAGCTAAAACGAAACCCAGGCGGCCAGATGTGTGTCACCTGCTCTCCTCCCAGTAAGGGGTCTCCCTGGGGGAGAACAGCTCCCACCAGGAGGTTCCAGCTGGTCCTCTCAAGGTCTGTGGGGCCAGCAAGTGCCCACAAAACCCAAGTATGGAGCAGTCACTGGAGGCTTTGTCATGCAGGGTCCCCCTCTCAAGGCCCTCTACTTCAGCCAGTGCAGAGCCTGCTTCCAGGCAGCACACTGGGAACCACAGAGCCTAAGGCACTTGCAGACTCCACTCTGCACACCCACACCTGGGCAACACGTGCAAGTCCATGCAGGGCCTGCATGCCAGGTGGCCTGGTGCCCACAACCTCTCAGGCACACACCATGCCAGCCATGCCAGCCAGCCTGTCACCACCTCCATCAGCACTTGGCCCCCAGCAATGGCTAAGACCCCCAGAGGCAGGGGCAGGGACCCACAGATGACCTGAGGTGCTCTGGGAAAAGCCTAGGTCCTGTTAGTGACAGTTACCTACAGGAAGAGCCATCTGGCGATTCCCCGCGCTACAGGCTGTGCAGGCAATGCCCTGTGCAGGCAGCGCCCTGGGCAGGCGGCTCTGGCTTGCCCTGGACAGAGGCAGCTGTGGGCTCTTGGCATCCCAGCCCCGCGTGGCTCCCAGGTGACTGCCAAGTAAACAGAACCTTCCTGGGCATGTTGCTCTAACCTGGCAGAGACATGCCCTGTGGCACCTGAAGCCATTAACAGGCGTGGTAATTGGACTATGATTTCCTCTTTAAAATTTAATGTATTTAAAATCCATTTCATAAACCTGCCAAGCAGAGCCCAGCTAATGTGGGCCTTTCCTTGACACTGAATCAAATGCGTTGGGGAAAAACTTGGTCATATGAAAAGTTAATCAATTTCCGATGCAGAAATGGACAAAGGGAAATTTACATCTTTGGGAGATTGATTTCGGGCGTTCTGGTTGATCTCCCTTTTATCGAACACTCTCACTTGCCGGGTGAAGGGTCATTTTTTTAACATTATCACATTAAATTGCCTTTAATATAGCAGGCCAAGCTGAGACTGTTAAATAAAGAGAAAATGCCTCTGTCTCCCTTAAAACAAAATGAAATTATTTCCTCTCTCCTGAGATTTTATTCTGATCATTTTCCTGGCAAGACTCTAGTTCCAGATGCACCACCAGCCTCTGGCTCCAGCTGAGTGAGGGCGCCTGGAATTTCTATCCTTAGTCACCTCGTGGCATGTGGCTGGTCATGTTGGGGAGGCCTCTGTGCCCTGCGGCCCAAGCCACGTCCAGGAAGGAGTTCACAAGGGCCCACCCATGGGCCCTGTGCCAGAATCCCAAGAGCAAACATTTGTGTCCCTGGCAGGACAGGGCAGGCAGAGATGGGGCCTCGGGCCTATGTCAGCAGAACAGCGGCTGCCCCTTTCTGGGGCGCTGTGCTGCAGCTAGGAGGAGCTGCCCAGAGATTGCTAAGAGGTGGTGGAGGGTGGGGAGGGACACACTGGTGGAGCAACGACCTTCCAGCTCTCCACAGCTGGGAGCCAGGAAACCTCAGCTCCCATGCTGAGTTCAGCCACTGTTTGCTGGGTTTATCTCATCAGGTCCATTCTCTTATCTGTTTCTGCATCTATAGCATGAAAGGATGGACTGGTAGCCTCAAGGACCCTTCCCTTCCCGTCTGGGGTCTGTCCGCCCAGACTGAACACTAATCCCAACTCTGCCCCAACCACTGTGTGATCTTGGGAGAGTCCCCTGCCCTCTCTGAGCCTCAGTTTTCTCATCTATAAAATGAGAGGCTCAGACAAGACAAAAACAAAGCTTCAGGTGCTGGAGTCCTCCCCCTCCCTCAGGCAGTGGCACAGCCTGAGCCGTTTCCCAGCAATGCCCACAGCTCTGAACTCACTCTGACTCTGGCCCTGTTGCCTGCCCGCAGCACGTGCTGAAGGAGCAGGACCTGGAGGAGGACTTCTTGGGGTGCTCACCGGGTGACCTCCTCCGGTTTGATGACTACAACAAGGACGGCTCCCTGACCCTCCATGAGTTCTACACAGCCTTCCGTAAGTCAGGCCCCAGTGGGCAAATGGGATTGTTTCCACAGGCATTCCTGCACCAAAATGATGTCAAGGCTCTGGAGTCTGTATTTAGTCGTGTCCAAGATTGGCTTCTTTTATAGGTGAAAGCAGTTGAATTTGTTTTGCCACAAGCCTGAGCTTTAAGGGTGGGGAGAGGGACGCTGGCTCTGTTCCTTTTGGATAAAGGCTCTTTTCACTGTCGTTAGAGGAACCCAGGACTGCGATTTAAGTGTGGCTGGGAGGGCACTGCGGGACCCCCCTGGGGGATTCTCTAACTGCACAAGGAGGGAGCAGATTTAGGGGTATCCCCAGGCTGTGGCCTGGCCCCATTGGGAATCCCTGCCTGGAGGCAAATCCTGCAGGAGGGTTCTGGAGACTCGGCCAGCAGGAGAGGGACGATGGAGAGTGAAGGTCCAGGTTGAAGAGAGGCGGGGAATCCCTGGAGAACAGAAGGGAGATGGTCTGTGTGAGAAGAGAGGAAGTGCTGGGAGTGGACCTTCTGGGGCGTCACGGTGCCTATCGCAAGTGGGTAGGATGAGCCAAGGACCTGTGTCTTTCCTTGAGGGGCTCCTCCAAGAGATTAGCTCGTGTCAACCGTAGATGGAGCTGGGACAGGGCTTCCAAAAGATGCGAGATGCGAGAACGAGCCCCAGAAGGCTCCAGACAGAGGTCAGCAGCGAGGAGAGGGAAAAGCAGTGCTGAGCACAAACTTGAGACAAGAGGGACCATTCTTGGCCCCAAGAGATGAAGCCCCTTTATGTCAGACAGCATTCAGGCTCTGCTTAAAGCAGGTAACGTATGCACCCTGTGTGAAGCTCCCAGCTCCTAACTGCAGGCCCTGGAATTTGGAAAGTAGGTGAGAGACTCCCAGGCTGCACTAGTACCCTGAGCCACAGACCCCGGCATCTACACCCCCAACGCCAACCGCTACCTGGAGTTCTGTTTTTCAGAAAGGTACTCCTGCTTCCTGTTGACATCTCTTTGTGCTGCTGTTATTCCATTCACAAGGCCTGAGAAGGAGCCCTTGTGATTCGTTGGCAAGAAGGACTCTTGTGGCAGGTAGAAGAGGTGCTTGCGAATAAGAGGAGAGAAACGAGTGTGATTCCTCCCTGTGGGAAATGCCCGTGAGCTTGACGCAAGCAGTGCCTTTCCAGTTCATGGCATCCTTATTGCCAAGGACCAAAGCCCAACCCCCAGTTACAGGGCCCTGCTTGATATCCCACGATGCGGTTCGGTTCCCCATCCTCCTCCTCCCTGCTCACTATTAAAACGCCTGTCTACGTGGAGTAGTTCATCATAAGGTGTGAACGTCTGGAGGGCTTAACCTGCATGTGGATGGTGTTTGCTTTGTGGATCAAGGAGCTTATTCCATGCAATAAATCTCTAAGAACCCAGCAACTCCATAGACCTAGCTCATGAGAGCCGATGGTTAGATCTTCAGGACTTTCACAAAGCAAATAATTGTATAGTTGGTAGCTTCAAATCAGCGGTAGTGGGAGTATTTACACCATGGAAATTTACACCATACAAATGCTACAAAAGCAGAGGAGAGGTGCTTTCTTCCTCTGGAGAGCCAGTTGTTAAGCACTGACCTGCACACACTGGACAAGACCCTCCCTCCTGTCCTCAGCGTCCACCTCCTGCAGTATCCTCTCCCTCCACCTTCCCCCAAACCGAGACCCCCGATGATTCCAATCCCACAGACATGAACAAGAAGAGTAGATGTCAGGGCAGATGGCCAAGAGAGCAGCCCTACCCATTGGGGAAAGCAGCAGCGTGTGTCCTGGGGACAGTTCTGAGATATTCCCAGCAATGCTTTCTGTGCTCAGGCCCCTCTGCAAAAGGCACTATGAAGGAAAAGGTGGGTACATTTTAAGAGTCAGGGGCCAAGGCTGGCCTTCAGGAATTTGGGGTATACACCAGTCACCACCACTCAGATGTCCCACGGTGGCATCGTTAAGCAGAGAATGGCACTGCTCAGGCACCATCCTGGTACCCGGTACTGCAGAAGCCTCTGCTTCCTGAGCTCTGTTCCTAGGAATCAGTCTGGGGCTGAACAGGAGACTGTTGGCTTTACTCTTGAGGAGGTGGAAGCATCCCTGTTGCCCCCGATGAAAGAGAAGGCCACCTGGCCTCCCTAACAAGGGTCATTATAAACCTGAGCTGCCCTTGGGAAAGAAGGGACATCGTCACCTCACCTCCAGCCATGTATCGATAGAGAGCAATGTGGATTATTCGTCCTTGATCCCTGGATTATTGTTTGAAAAGCTTTATAATCATCATTTTTAAAGCAAATTAGGTTCTACTGTCGCCTTGGACTTCTTTTGAACCAGACAGCCAAACCATTCATCACAGCCCTACCCAAATAATAAATATGCAATAAAATGTAAACTCGCAGCCATGAAGAAAGCCACAGAATGAGTTAATCCGCTATAAAGACTTGACATGTGGCCACCAGGAGCACACGGGGATCAATGGTTTTTTAAAGTCATGGGAACTCTACATTCACATAGCTCTGGGAATGGATTTATGGTTCAGTGAATGTTAAATAGGTAATTGAAATGAGACTTATAGGTACAACTTATTACCCAGAAATCAATGGGCATTAAAGAAATCTCACTAAAACTCAGAAAGTAATATCTCAAATGTTTCAGCAACAACATTTTGGATTTAATTTTAAATACTGGAGCTGATGGGCTAGCAGAGGTTGAGACTTTAAAATTGTATTTTCTAGTCTACTTTGCCAGGTCCTTGGGTACTAGGCAGGGCAGAGTTTGTGGGGTGACTCCTGGCATGGGCTCGGTCGCTCTATTAAAGGATGTGTTTGGAGGCCTTTTTCCTGGACAGGTGGGTTGTATTTACAAGTTCATGGTGTTGGGGGGTCTCCCCTAAATGATGTCTTCTCATGCAGCTGGCCTAGCCCAGGCTGGGCCACTCTTTGCCATTGTCTGCAGGTGGCTGACACCAGTGCCAAGAATCCCATGGCTGGGGGCTGCCATACTCAGCTTAGGTGGTTCACAGTGGGGCTGCACCCTCCTTCTGGCTCTGCAGAACAGGTGGCCCCTCCCAAGAGAGGAGGGCAGAGGCCAGGTCCCTTAGCCATGGCAGGCAGTTCAGTCTCTTTCTCTCAGATGGCGCTACGGCTCTCATCACCCATCTCTGTGCAGTGACAGGAGTGAAACATAAGGGTGGCCTCCCTCTCTTCCTCCATTCCATTCCTTCTTCCATTCCTCTCTTCAGGTTGCTTTGGCTTTCCCTATCACAGGCTGAAGTTGGAACTAAAGACCCCTCAGCACGTGCCCTCGACCCTTCCCTCCTCCCCAAACCAGCTGCAGGACCACCAGTCCCTGCTGTGAGGCAGAGACCCAGGCTCCATGGTCACTGGGGAGCAAGATGCTTACCAGCCCTGTCTGTTCCTCATGATAAATTAATCTAAAAGTTGCTCATTTAAAAAGCTTTTCAATAATGCATGTTTTTGCACTTTTCTGAATGCTTGGGTTGGGATTATGGGAAAAACATGTTGCTTAAAGGAGGATTTTTCTCTCACTTTAAATTCATTATAAGTTTCTTCTGTGTTTTAGAAAGACACCTGTCCTTTTAATTAATCCTGTGAGAGCAATGTGTTGGATGCAAAGGAAGGGTTGAGCACCTAGCAGTGCAGGATAAAGGGCTTCCCATGTTAATGTTCCGGGATCACAATGCATAGTGTCCAGGAGGAGAACCCGTGTCAGGAGGACCACAAGGAGCTGGCTGTGCGGGAGTCAGATGCCCTCCCTTAGCTCTAGTCAAGCAGAAAGGAAAACAGTGATGTAATTTGCTTATTGCAATACCTCTGTATCCAGGGCAACTCTGTGAAACAGATGAGATGGTCACTGGTGAATTTACAGCTGTTTTTCTGCCATTGTTGCTGCAAAATGAAAGGATGTTGCAGCTTCACTTCACACATCATTATCCTCTGGAAGGGATAACGGCAGGCACAGGCCAAACACCGTGCCAGACACCGTGCCAGACGCATTGTCTTAGTCAGTTTTCATAGCCCTGCGGTGATGAGCAGGATGGCAAAATAAAACAACGGGAAGCTTCCCTCCCCCGAATCAATCTGGCTTTTTATCCGTGTGGGTGAGTTCAGACAAGGAGTTTAGATGGCGAGGGTACCACTTTATCCCACTCCATTTGCTTACTGGGTTTGGGATCATGAGTAACAAAATTTCAGATAGCATGGGGTTTATCAAAAATTTTATCTGAATCTATTTGGCTCTTGAGTCTGGTGAGCAAGCGGTACCAGTACGCTGGTCTCGGTGTCGGCTGAGGCTAAGACCATTCGTGTGATGACTCCCCTAACACCAAAGGGAGAAACTGGTCACCTCCCACAGGACTTGCAAATCAATCGAGCAAAAAAACTGAGCCACTGCCCTTGGTGCCTCATTTACAAGGGCATTAAACAGTTACATTGGAGTGGCCAGAGGAGGAGTGGAGAATTAGAAGACAGAAGGAGCTGTGAGTCTCGCCACCCCTCCCAAGGACAGAGGTGGGGGTGCTTGCTCATCACCTCAAGGGTAGAGAGAGGGGATCCAAGGAGGCTTCCGTGTGAGCTTACTGTGTGCCCCTGCAGCCAAAGTCAATGTGCCATCTGAATGATTTCACTTGTCAATATCGCTTTAGTTAATAATGGGCTCTTTATACTCTGGTTGTGTAAAGCAATACCTAACATTTGTCGTGTGTCAGCACTGTGTATTATGTCCCAATTTTATAGATGAAGAAACTGAAACTCTGAGAAGTTAGGTAGCTAACCCAAAGTCACACAGCCAGCAGCTAGCAGAACCAGGATTAGACCCAAATGCCTGAATACAGAACCTTCTCATGCATTTAAACACACTTTGCAATTCATCAGCATTCTCCAGTGAGGAGAATCTCACTGTGCCTTCAGTGGGTTTCCCTAAGTTTCAAGTCCCAGCTCAGAGGTCTCCTCCTCCAGGATGTCTTCC